GATTTCTTTCTTTCTTTCTTTCTTTCTTTCTTTCTTTCTTTCTTTCTTTCTTTCTTTCTTTCTTTCTTTCTTTCTTTCTTTCTTTCTTTCTTTCTTTCTTTCTTTCTTTCGAGAAATAAAAGTTCAAGGTCTCCCTAACTATCTAAAACTAGTTACATCATTCTTTGGATCTTTATTTATTGTACATCTATATTTTCTTTTCATATAAAATTCTGTCCCATTATCAAGTGATAAATAAACATAAAAGACATTCTGATGCTTTCATTTTAAAACACCTGGTTTACAGAAATCCATGTAGCTAGACAGTTTGTACAGTGGCTACACATTAATACATCCCCAGGAAAATATTTCTTTGTTGCAGTAATTGAGAAATTCCCTCACATTCATTACAAGAGAATATTTATTTTAAAAGTTCCTACTCTGTTAAGATACTGCATTAGTATCTGATGATGTGCTTTTCCGAAAGACTCCAAATGTTATGTGAATGATTGAAATGGCCAACTTTACAACAGTTTTATATTTCCACAAGAGTGCTGAGAATACGTGGAAGTGTTTCATAAGCTTTTCTATAATAGTTCATCCCCTACCCCTGCCCCCAGAAACTCATCTGCCCCATTAAACTATTCTTGGTGAATCTTTAAGATGACATTCTCTTTAACAGTAAATTAACTGGGGAAAATTAAGTCTTCCTTTCAGATAAAAAAGCATTTAACTGTTCAATATGTATTTATATATTTGAACCTGATCAACTAGTAACTCCATGAACTCTGATATAGGGGCCACTTTTAAATGATAGCTTTTTTTCATATTATTCAGAAAAGTGGAAAATGGTCTGTTTTGAAAAATTAAAAAAGCAAAAGCAAATACTTTGGCTAAAACAAATCCAGATCTTTTGGTTAAATTAGCCAGAAGTGGAATACATAATTTATGTTCAGGTTTGGGAAGCGTAATCTACAGATATAAAAAAAGCATAGCTCTTTAGTCCTGGGCTAAAATTATTTTAGATCAAAGAAAAGACTTTAGTTAAACCATGCTGAAATATGGTTGGCTTGCTTATTAATCAGCCTTGAAAGGCTCTCATATTATACAACTTTATAATGATTTTGGTTAGACTCATTCAATGACTGCTCAAAAGATCTCAGTAACTTCAGTTTTGTATTTAGCTCAAATCTAGAGTAGGAATATAATTTTATTGCATCCAATCAGTTTGACTTTTTCATAATAAAGTTACTAATATGTTAACTGGAAGTGCTATGAGTAATATACCCTATGATTATATTTAATACATTAAGGGACATGTTTTAGGCCTGCTAATTATTCCTTATAGCTCTGTATAGGCTACATAAATACCTTCATATCAGGTAAACATGGTCCAAATGCTTCCAAGAGGAGATTTTCATCTCTTACTGCCTTTTCAAAATCCACAAAAGAGACTTTGCCATCATGGTCATAGTCCTATGAGAGAAAATATTTTAACCAATATAATTACTGTATTTAGATTATAGCGTTAGACATAATTATTGGGAGCCAAACACAATTGGAATTACATGCATGGTATTTTTTTATTGGCATGCCAGTAAAATTTTATGTAATTGCTACTGTACAAGCTTATTTACTTTAAAAAAAAAAACATTGTTCTAATATTGTTCCAGACTCTGATTTGGAATTGCCAATTAATGCAATAGATTCCCAAGATTATCTGTTTAGTTACTCTTGGATTGATTTCATTTCTGGTTTTTTTTTTCAGTCCACTAAACGTGTGAACAAAGCTAAACTAGGTTAATTGGGTAAACTATTAGCATAATTTAAACCCGAGGAGTTATATTTTTAAGTTTATTATACTTGCCATTTTCTTCAATGTTATTTCTACTAAATCTTTAATTCCTTCATCGGGATCTTCTTCTGATGGCTGTTTTAACAGACTGTTCTTCAGCATATGAAACATTTCCTCTCGTGAAATATATCCATCACCATTGAGGTCATAAACTTCAAAGCAGTCTTTAGAAGGGATAACTCCATTACTACATTCATGTCAAACAAAATGCTTTCCAGATAATTGAAAATAAGAGTTACTAAATTATAATTAAGGAAAGGAGGCCCAAGTATTTTGTAATAAATTAGACTGTATATACTGTATATATTGTATAGGCTATATAGACTATACAATATACTATACTTTCATAATGTACTTCATAATGAATTTGCCCTAAATTTCAGATTAACATGAAAACTGACTTTTTACTAGAAAAATCTTACATTTCATCTTTTCTTCCAGAGTCCCCCGAAGAAATATTGATAAGCCTTCTACCCATTCTGTTACACCAACACAGCTGTCATTATCTTTGTCGAAAGCACGGAACACTGAAAGAAAAATAAAGATCATTGTAAAGTTTTATTTTAGAATTGGCATTTGCATTAAGATATACTGTATCTTGAGTGTGTATCATTACATTACATAAACCTGAGAATGTGGGCAACAGAATGTTGGCTTGCAAGATACTCACTAGCTCCAGCTTACATAGAATAGTGTGAGCATGTTTAACCAAAATTTGCCAGAACTGACCAGTACTGTTCTTACCATTAGGCAAGGAATGCTATATGTTGCATAGGTACAACTAAGGCTGGTAGCCTAGCCAGCATCTTCTCTGTCTTACCAAAAAGCACTGTGTGAATGCCTTGATTGAAAAAAGCCTTGATGGGTGGTCAATATCTTTGAGCCCATCTAATGATGACCATGGCATAAGGAAAATTGTGAATTTGAATGTAAGAGGTAAAAAGCACGAATTAACAAATGAAAGAAAGAATAATAGATGTCTGTGAAACTAAGAGAAAGAGGAAGGCTGTAATAGTTTCAAATTAAGATAGTCAGATCTTATGGAATGGAGTTGATGAACATTTATTATTTATTGCCATCATTTGTATACTGCCTCTATCTGAGACTTGACAACACAATAAAAGTAATGAAACAGCAACCCCAAAATAGAGTAATCCCCAAAGTCATAACATCACATCATAAAATCTCATAATAAATATATCTCAGGCATCAGACACGTGAAGGCCAGTCCTAAAACGAGACATCCCCTAGGTAGCTCCTCCAATGCCTCTGCAAAAGAGGATATCTTCATAGTCTTTCATGTTTTTGATATGATGTGGAGGTCTGCTATTCAAATCTTACTGAATCTAATCAAGGTCCTGGAAAATTTAAAATAGCTAAACTGGGAAGTTGAAAAATATCCCAGAAGAAGTCAGTGGCACATCACTTCCATATTGTCACATGGAAGTCTCGAGGAGTCAAGCTCAACTTCAAGGAGGCTTTATATTTTACACCACATATTGCCCAATACAGTGTACTTAAGTACACTGACCAGTGTTTAAAGTCAGTTTATAGCTGAAATTTCCAAATCTTTATTAAAATTACAATCTGCACTTCTAGCTCTGAGTGAATATGAACAGGATTGTACTACAAATATTTTACTAGAGCTACTGCTATTTGTTACATATTAATATTATTTAGGGACATTAAAAAGGCCAAATGATTCGGTAACCCAAAGAATACAGTGATCAAATAATATCAACAATTACTCATCGACAGAACTCATTATGCAGGGATATTACTCAAGATTTATTAATTACGAATAATGAACCACATAAGTAAAATCGGAACAATTTGAACTTCCATGCGATTTTCATGATTTACTCGACATAGAAATGTTTTCAAAACTGCTATCTGAAATAACTTTTAATGGCTATCTTAAAACTTTTCATAAATACCTTAAAATACAGTAATTTATAACCATTCATTTAATTTTACCTCTGTCCATAATCATGTCATCTGTCATTCCAAATGTGACATGCAGAATATTGCGAAATGAGTTGCGATCTAAACCAACAACAGCATGCCGGTCGCTGGGTTCCACATCCAAGTTGTTGAAAAGCTTTATGAGACATTCCACTTCAAATCTATTAACTACAAAAGGAAACAGTTATGACAAGGAAGATTTATCCCATTTTTTTCAGCATCGAATGTAAATTTGAATATGCATCTCCCTGACCCTTGTTTGATAGACTCTAACGTTGCCGTTCTCAACTCGGTTACTCCACTGACTAGGAATTCTGGGAGTTGTAGTTTCAGCATTTCTGGACGGGAAGCCCTATCTTAACCAGTCTAGATAACAATAGAAGAGCAATTGGCACGAATTCACACAGCGATTAATGAATTCAGGAGCAGCTGGGTTAAAAAAGTACAGAAGGAGAGAGCAGCCCCATATTCACTCACAATGTTTAGCGGATTTGCACAGCGATTCAGCAAGCTTCTGCAGCTTCTTTCTGTTCATTTTGAGCTTCCTTGCTTCCGCTTAGCCCGGTCGTCACAAGCCACGCGGTTCCCATGGCAACAACAGAGGGAATGTGGCCGCTCGGCCCGGATGTAAGAAGGTCAAAGGCATCCATAGGCCGGACTGGCAAGTTCCGGCACGTTTTTTCGTTCCTGCTCGCGGAAGGCAAAACACGGCTCTGGGGCTCTGAGCTGGATCACCCGGCTGGTTTTGCGCGAGGAGGGACCGCAGACCGAGCAAACGGGAGAGGCGGGAAAAAAGGGGGGGGGGCCCCCCCCCC